TTTAGCTGGTATTTTTGAGGCAGAATAACTCTGCAGTTTTCGGTTCCTAAAAGTTTCTTAAGCATAGACAAAAGATATCCTAGCATAACAGCCGAGGGACTTGTTAAGAAACGAAGTTGCCTAATCGCTGTGGCTTAACACTATTCGTTACCACATGTTGAACTTGCACTACGGGTATCGTTCAATAGAAGGGGTTCTTTATGAGTGGACATTTTGCTAATGTAGGTTTTCGCCGGAAACATGGATCAGGACACTGTTGTTCATCACGAACTCAAGCTACCGATCAGAGCAAGATATATTCGTTTTCAACCAGTGGCTTGGATTGGGCAGAGATCTATGAGAGTTGAGTTGTATGGTCATCAGAAAGGTATGTTAATCACTATTTTTTCAATTTAAAGTTAAAAATACCCTGCGAAACTCTTTTTCTTGAACTATATTTATATATCCTCAAAGGAAAACTAAAATAAAATAAAGCAAAATAGAAGTAGAGAAGAAAGTGCGAAAAAGGTTATAAAATTTCATAAAAAAATTAGTAATAAAGGTCGTTCATGAATTTGATTTTTATAACCAAAAGCATGTGTCTTCTCCATAATTAAATAGAATGCCAGAAAGCTCTGGGTATGGAAAACAAAATAATCTCAGATGGACAAATTCGAGCCTCATCCAGCTGGAATGGCTACTCTGTCGCTAGCCGCGGAAGACTATCAATTAAAGCATCTGGAAGCATGAGAGGAAGCTGGACGGCTTCTAAAAATGATCGAAACCAATGGCTACAGATTGACCTGGGAGACAACAATACTAAAGTTACAGGTGTAGCCACCCAAGGGGGGCAAGACACCGACCAATGGGTGACTAGTTACAAGCTTCAATACGGGAATGATGGAGTTAATTTTCAGTATTACAAGAGACAAGGTGAAGACAAGGTTAGAGAAAACGGTTACCTTGCTTTGAGATACACTTCCGTTAACTACGAAAGTTAAAAAATAGGGCCTGGGTTAAGAGGGTAATTCTAATCCACCAAACCAATTCAAAAGTTTACAGCCATTGCTCAAACTTTTCCAGTTTTAATAAAGTTAGTGTAAGTCCTTTGCAAGTTAGAAGAGTTCAACGGTTAACACGCGAGCAACTAGAATTCTCGACTCGACATTTTAATCCCTGCTTGTCATGATCATGAACTACCTCTAAGAAATATGGGCTAAGCTGGTCCTTCATAAATACTTTTGTTCTTGGGCCATCGTAATTGGATAAAAATTAAGACACAAACAGCAGTGATAGATATATTCAACTTGCACATTTTGATTATGACTTAACATTTCGTATGTACTCAACATATATTTTCAAAAGTAACCGTTGAAATTTAAAACAGCTGTGTAAAAATATAACGAAAGTGAGGGGACTGGAACCGAGATTAAGCAAAAAACTTAATAAACAATACAAAAAACCCTAGAGCAAATTAATAAAGGAAGCTTTCAACGTAAACGTTGGAAGTGAAAAGCTGTTACTTTAATAATCTGCTCTAGTGTTATTGTTTATTGTTAAGTTTTTTGCTTAATCTTGGTTCCAGTCCCCTCGCCTTAGTTCTCTATATAAATAGCTGTTTTAAATTTCAACGGTTATTTTTGAAAATGTATGTTGAGTACATACGAAACGTCAAGTCATAATGAAAATGTGCAGGTTCAATATGTTTATCACAGCTGTTTGTGTCTTATTTCTGGTCCTTCATGTTTTGTGCACCTTTGATTTAAGACAAATTCATATTGAATCCAATATCAAAACCAGGAATTGACTGAGTCGTAAAATCACCATTTGCTCTTATTCAGTACATTGTACTTCAAAGGGGTTTACAAGTTTAAGGTTTATAAGGGGTGACTGCACCCGCAGGAGAAACGTTTTCAATATAAATGGGTCTTATTATAGTCGACTTGATGATGTTAGACTTTGTAAAATGAAACATTCAGTTATTGATTACATCATAATAATATCAATATTAATATTATTTTAGTGGCAAAAATAGAAAAACTCGTCCTATCAGCTTGATTACAAAAAGAAATAATGAGGATAACTTAAAGGTTTTTTTGTTTTCAATAACGGAAAACATTAATTTAGATCTCTATGAATTCAGGTGAAAGATTTAGGATTTTTTTATAAGTTGTTGTTCAATTTCACAAGAATTTCTATGCTTCCACCTATTCAGGAATTTCCTGGAAACAACGACCGTGATACAATTGTTTTTCATGGATTGAATCCGCCAATCAATGCCCGATACGTCCGTTTTCGCCCAGAGTCTTGGCAGAACCACATATCAATGAGAGTGGAACTGTATGGTTGTCTTGATGGTAGGCAACTTTATTATGCAACTGAATTGTATAGAGTCATTTGTAGATAACAAATTTTCTACAGTTTTTATCGAGACCCTACTCTTTATTCGCCCTCAGTCTGATATGAGATTTAATTTGGATATATCAACAAAGTTGAAATGGACAATTGGCCACCGTAACGATTAAAAAAGCTGACGTTTCGAGCGTTAGCCCTACGTCGGAGCGAATAGAGGAAT